ACATTTAGGCAGCATTCTCACTATACAAGGAAACATAGTATATATTTAGTTTGAAATACAATAATCATATAGGAAGCAGGATAAATAGGATAAATGATGACTTTTTGGGACTCCCTAAAAGGCCTTCAATGAAGTCTCAATTATTATTATGCTCAGGTTCAAAATTATAATTGGGTCTCCAAAGAAAAATCCTTGTTCAACGTAACCGCATAATCTAAGCTTTGATACCATTTGTTACACCCTGATACTAAAAGTATGATCGGCATAGAATATGAAGTGAACTCACATTTCATAAGCCTTTATTAACTAAAATTAAGCTAAAATAGCAATATATGTAAGTTATATATAATATTAAAGTTTGTAAAGTTTTATAGTTTTTGTAAAATTTTCAATAGAATCTCTCCTATAATTTAGACCTCTCAAAATTTTTAAATTTTATTATCATTTCCTCCATACACGAATCATTGCAATAAAAATTTTATATCACTATAGAATTACATAATCAAACTACTTATGAGAAATAATACAATTTGTCGTATATCCATTTCAATCGTTACTTATCAAAAATATAAATCATAAGTAAAGCAATTACTATAAAAAAATTTGAATTGAAAGGGATATCAATACAATTTATAGAGGAATAAAATTAAAATTCCAATAAAGAAATTATTATAAACATATTACTAAAAATTTATTTGGAATACTATCCACTCACTTGAGAATTTTTCAAAAATATTAAAACTCATTCACTTCAACTTCTCACCTTAATTCTAATGGTGCCATTAATTTTCCAGCAAAATAAATCATAATTCAAAAATGCCATTAATTTTCTAGCAAAATAAATCATAATTCAAAAATCATTTATCAAGAAATTCTCCAAGCACTTAGTGATGTTACATTCAATCTAAATGAGATTAAAGATAATACTCTAACCAATTACGTTTCAATTACACTTGAGTGAGTTACATCATTTGACAAATCCCAATTTGTCCTCAAACTTTCTTGTGGTCTATTTTCAATCATAAATCATAATAAACCATATCAACCATTCTTATACTCTCTTTAGACTATAAAATACTATACAAGCCTTCTATATAATCCTTTCTCCCATTTTAATATTTTAAAATTCTAATCTATAACTCAAGCCAACTTGCATATACTCCTCCAATTTATAACATGAAAGTTTAACAACATTCAATCCACCATATTCTTCTTTCACATACTTTTACAATCACCTTCAATGCATCAAGTTTAGTTCACAATAAATATCTGACAACTTAATCAATTCCCAGCATTAACTCTATCTCATCATACTCAGCTTAATGCATAACATCAACCAATCAACAATTAAATTTCCCAAACCAAATATGACAGCATCCAAGAAGGGTAAAGGTATATTTTAAAAAAAAAAAACAAAAGAGAAGAATTCCAGCTCACAACTATCACTCCCACGGCACCCTTAGCTGAAGAGGAAGGAAAGATGAAAAATCAAGGACTCACGTGATGCTAACAGTTGAGGAGGAAGAGTAAATGAAAACTAAACATAGGCATGCTATCGTTAGCCACAAAACTGGAAAGAAAACAAATAATAGCGAACTAAAGAGAGAAAGTCTAACAACTCCAACTCTTCCAGCTATAGAGACACGATGACAAGAGGAGAAGTTAAAGACCACTCACCTCACGTTGATACAACAAAAAATGATGACAGGGGAAGAGAATTCCAGCTACCCAAGCCCCATCATAGTTGACGAACATGGGTGAAAAGAAGGGCGACGAATGAACCAGCAATAGCAAAGAAACGCAAGTCGCCAGCGAGCAAAAGAACTTGACGAGAAGAGCCAGAGAGATGACCGATAATGAAGAACCAGGGAAGTACTATAGCAGTGGGGTAAAAAAGAGAGACTAGAATGCTCTGTTTCATCCTTTACCATTCGAATAAAAAGAAAAGGTTCTGAATAAAACACTAAATTGAAAACATTATAAAACAAGACCTAAAGTTTGTGGGGGAAAATATCAAAATAATACCTCATCAGATTTTATTATTAATATTATACTATTTTTATAAATAAAAAGCAAGGGTACTTTGGTACTTTCTCAATATAAAAGAAAATAAACTAACATTTGGCTTAATCAAACTCTATACCTCCTTATAAGTAACCAGTATAAATTTCATTAGGCTGACACTCTTCATATGCTATAAATAAAATAATTAAATAAAATCTCAATAGGAAAGGAAAAATAATTTTAATTAATTAATTAATTTTTTGAGGTCATTACAAAATTAGTTTGGACTTTCATTAAAATCTCTTTACCAGAGTTAATTTAAAGATAATAGGGAATACTTCCCAATAACTTTACAATTTAAAATAAATAAACTTTAATAAGTTTATACATAATTTCATCCATAATTCAAAAAACCGTTAAGTATTCTTCACCTATTTTATTTGTTACTTATTTAAATAACCTTCAAATATGGAGTCCCTTATTTAAATAATCTTGTGATAGTGAAAAGTAGAGCTCAACAAATGAAGTGGACATCATGTGTATGCTAAGCCAAACATTGACTGCACAATATGTCAAATAGTTTGCAATGTCATTTGCATTTTACAACATCTATACGACTCTAACATTTTAATATTTATGTATAATTTTAATATTTCAATGTTATTTATTTCTCATTCTATCTATAAATATCTTTAGTGACAACAAATTTTGTCACTAAAAGTAATTATGTAAATTAATTTTTATAAAAATATTTTTTAATTTTTAATTATTTTTTTATGAAAATACTTTCGACGGTGACAAACTGTAGTTGTAAAAAATAAGTACATTAATTATTTTTAATTTTTAATTATTTTTTATAAAAATACTTTTAGTAGCCATTGTTTGTTACCGCTAAAAGTAATTATATAAATTATTTTTAATTATCTTTTATAAAAATGCTTTTGATTGAGATAGTTTGTCACCTTTAAAAATAATTAATTTTTTAATTATTTTTTTATAAAAATATGTCAAAAGTAATTATATAAATTATTTTAAATTTTTTAATATTTTGTTATAAAAATATCTTTAGCAACGATGATTTGTCGTTGTTAAAAGTAATTACATAAGTTATTTTTTATTTTTTAATTAATTTTTAATGAAAATATTTTTGACGATGATAATTTGTTATCACTAAAAGTGATTTTTAGAAACAACAATTAAAGGTCACCACGAAATGGAGCTTTTGGCGGCAACAATCGTTGTTAACAATTTACTTTTGGTGGCAACTTTTAGGTATGTTTTTAGCGGTGATTTTTAATTGTCGCCATCAAAAGTAAACCTTTGACAATGACTTTAATTGTTGCCGCTAATAATCGCCGCTAAAATTTTTTTTTTGTAGTGAATGCAAATGTGCCCCCCCCCACACACACACACACACACACACACAAAACACGTTTCATTCTTGAAGGCATATGCTTAAAATTAACTTAGTCTAACCACAAATTTAGAAGATGCCAAATGTACATGCAGTCACAACACTACAATAACAGGCGCACACAAATAATAAGTTTTCTTACCAAATATCAAACGTTATAAATAAAATCTTGAAGAGCAAACAAGAAGCAACACTCCTGGATGGAGCCAACGATTAAGCATCACTTGTGTAGTGATTGTGGCTCCTTGTCCAGATACTGCCTTCATGCTGTATTACTGCTGCTAGGACCAAACCCGTCCCTACATATATCGTCCCATGACTTATATCGATTAAAAAGTGAGGATAACAATAAAGTTCTAAAATAAGTAATCTATAACAGTTAGGTCCTCACAAAATTTTCTCAAAATAAATTACAAGTATAGATTCATACAGTTTGAAACTGTTATTAAAAAAAAAAAAACCAGAAAACGAAGGTCAGTTTAAGTAGATGCTCTGTTTTTCCTATGCAATTTCTTATTTGAGTAACCTAAGTGATGAATGATTATATGATATCCAACTTGGAAAATGCAAGGAAAATAATTAAACTCTCCTCATAATTTTCTTGACACACACACATAGATATAAGGCATATGTTAGTTATATATATTTGTCTGTGCTAAGTAATAAAGTGACTGAGTCAAGTATTGTTCTCTCATAATTTGATTCTAAGAATTGTTAAATATCTATTTCACACTATGGCCCAAATCAAGCATATCACAAAAAGAATGGAAGAAAAATATGAATTAATTAAATGTAATTATGTAGACATTGTTAATAATTGGTAATGATAGCATTAGAAACGTGATTATTTTAAGCTTGTTTAGTTTCTGTTTTCAGTTTTGTTTTTAAAAACTATTTTGCAATAAATATTTTAAAAAAATTTTTCAAAACAAAACAAAAAGAAAATATATTTGATTGCATTAATTTAAAAATAGTTTTAAAATTAAAAAAAATCAACTGATAGTAATAGTTGCCGGTAGTTAATAATAATAACATGTGATAGTGATTGATCACAATAACTGTATTTTTTAATAATTAAATATAATGCATTTTGAAAAAAATATAAATAGTTTTAAGATGTTTTTATTTTTTTTTAAAAAAATGAGAATGATTTTGAAAACAATTAAATTCAAAACATTTATTGATCAGAAAAAGTTTTTTATTTTTTTTATTTTTTGGTTTTTTAAAACAGAAACCAAACAAGTCCTTAGATCATTACAACTATTATCTTTGCTGGCTAATTACTCTTTTAATTATAATTAAAGCTACAATTGCTCGTCTAAAAGTCTTAAATTATTTTATTGCCCTTCAAATCACTAATATCTATGTTTAAATGACTATTTAATTAGAGTAAATGTTTGCCGGAAGGCATGCAATTACTAATTACTTAAATTCAAAGGCTATCATCAATAAACAGGCCAACGTGCTTTGAATACCCTGTGATGCTCTGTTTCTGACCATGCAATCACTAATTTAGGTAACTAAATGATAAATGATCATAAACATCCTACTTACCCCACACACACACACACACAAGCCAAAATCATTCATGAAAGCATATGCGTTCAATACAAATCTTGAAAAGAAATAAGGTAGCTTTGAAATCATTCAGATCAAACAAAACTAACTATGTTTTCTTTACCAAACATCAAACTTCATTAATAAGAAAAAATCAACATTAACAATAAATTAACAATATTCGTGGAATCAGATCAAGATATTGTGCGGCTAGCTCCATGCCTCCCTTCGTATACTGTTACTGTCTTCAGGTATCTAACTGCCGCTGAAGGCAGTATAACTGCTGCTGACGGCAGTATAGCTGGTGCTCGGACTCAAAATCTTGTCCCTGCATGTCTCCCTGCCACATTACTATGAGCAATTGAATAATGCAATCAAATTATATGTAGTGGATAAAAAATTAATATCGAGGTATATTTAATATGCTTATTCTTTGCAATTAAATTAATATATGTGATTCTTTAATATATTATTTATTCTATAATAAACTCTTTGAATATTAACATTTTTAACATTTTTAAAATCCATTTGTTTTAATTTAATTGAATAAAAGTATATAAGGCTAAAACACTTAAATCTTCCTTCAATAGTATATATACGTACGTACTTGGTAATGGGCAAATCTTTAGTAATACCTGTTGAAGTAATTGACTAAGTATGGTTGAAGGAGAATCTTAGCTTCAGGTTGGTCCCACTGCAATGATTGCCACCATGTGTATGTACATGTTATTTGTTGGAGGGTGGCTGATGGTGAGATTTGCTGACCAGCCTCTGCTCCAAACAAACCCGGAGGCAACTTATTCAGAGCATCGCAGTCCTCAACTTCAATAGTGCGCAGAGAATTGCATTCAATGTCCCCTTTGTATATGCTTTTCAGTCTTGGCAACTCCTTCAATTTCAACCTTTGCAATTTTGGAAGGATCACTTTGGCAGCATGGCTGCTGCTTTCAGCGTTTACATTCCTCTCTCCTTCAATAATTGCTTCCATCTTGGGGCACCATCTGATGGCAATTTCTTCCAGACTTTTAAGCTCGTCCATGAGCTGCCTTGGGAATAGACATTTCAACGAATCACAGTATGACGCATGAATACTCTTGAGGTTCATTAGAGTACATGGTCTCACCACTTTCCCACAGATCATCCTCAACCTTCGCAAACAATATAGATTCATTGTCTCTAGCCCGGACAGATTATTCTCCTCTGATTCAACAATGCATTCCAAGTCAGGACACCCATATAATTGGCACCTTTTCAAGTACATTGCATCCAATAAGTACGAAGACAAGCATTTCATACCAAAAAAAGAAGAAATTATTAATTCCTCTACAATTCGTGGAATCAATGCAGTACTCTCGGCTACTGAAATGTCGCTTTTTTTGTCTCCCCCATGTATTGCCAAACTAATTTTCTCAGATAATTCTGGAACGTCGCCAAAAACCCTGACAACAAGCTTCAACTCCTTTAACAGAGAATGCTTCAAAAATTTAGCAAATTTTCGATATGCTTCAATGTCAAGGAATTGCATGTGTAGAAGAGACAGATTACGACAGGACATGATTTCTTCCACTTTCACTGGATACAAGGTGCGTTCTGCACTCTTAGATGATACCCCAATCATATGCGAACCCAACATCAACAAGCCCTCCAGAAGAGTAAATTTGGATATGAGTCCAGCAGGTAAGTTTTGGACAGACGTGAAGGAGAAATCCAAGTGTCTCAAATCAGTCAATTGTTCCGTCCCTAGTGGAAGTTTTGTTAAACCTCTAGAAAATGAAAAATCTAAATGCTTCAATTTAGTGAGCCTTTCTAAAGATGGAACTTCAACAAGATTCCAACAGTGACTCAACAACAAGGAATGTAGATTTTCCAAATTCGAAAAAGACACCGGCAAAACATGAATTCCAGTATATGAGAGATTAAGAACTTTTAGCCCATGCATGTTGTCAAAGAAGTGGTGTGATATGTTGTCTTCAAATGAGTTGTATTGAAGTAGCAAAGAAGTGAGTCTAGGACACGTTGGACTGAAGTCTATAGATTTCACATCATTTCTCATCAACGATACCCATTGAATATCCTCTCTCCATTCCTGAGGTATTGCTGGTTTTACTTGTTTCATGCCAGCATTCACAACGCATTTAGGCTTTGTACTCATGATTGTGATTGCCATGTCTCTTACCACATCATGCAATTTAACAAATCTCACCCCATTTTCAATCTTTGATTCCAGCAAGCATCCTGATATTAGTTCATCTATAATCATTTGCCCCTTTCGTTTCATCACAGACGTGCTTCGACCTTCCAATAAATCTTCCCATACCCAATAATTAATCAATTCATTCTCATCAATTAGGTGACCTCTTGGGTATAAGGAACAATATAGAAAGCACGACCGCCTTGTATCATCCTTTAGTTTTAAATAGCTCAACTTCAAACGAGAACACACCACTTCATCAATAGTGTATATGCCAGTACTTGAAGTTCTTAACTCCTCCCGTGCATTCTCCCACTCTCTTATATTAGTTGTGTTTCTCATTGCACGTCAAACTGCAACAATAGCCAGAGGCAAACCACCACATTCTTTTGCCATATCCATTGCAATTGATTGTATATTTGGATTTGATAGCACTTGTTCCCCAGCTTTGTCCTTGAAGAGATCCCATGCTTCCTCTTCTGAAAGAACTTTCACTTCCACATCTTTATCTGTTTCCATAACTCTGCACACTCTAACATCTCGAGTTATAATCACCAATTTACAACCATTCTCTACTGTTGGCACAGGGATTCCAACACTTTCAATATTGAATGGTTCCCAAACTTCATCTAAAATCAGTGTAAATCTCTTCCTCCTATTAAAAGCTTCTAACAATTTCGAGGCTCTTGTTCTTTCATCATCAGCTTCTTGAAAAGTCAAATCCAACTTCACAGCTATATCCTGCTGCAACTTCTGTAGATCCTTTGATGCTTCCACCCAAATAATGCAGTTAAATTCATTGCTATTATGCAACAGGCGATTATTAATTTCTGACATAATAGTTGTTTTACCTGCTCCTCCCATCCCCCAAATACCAATCCTTCTAGCATGCTCATCAAACAAGAATGTGGAACATTGGTGTTGCAGACAGCAAAACACCTCTCTTGGTAACAAAATTGACAATTGAATCATTTGAATGTGGAACATTCTCTAAAAGTTCATTAGTATCTACGATCTTCTTCTCTATAAGTTCCCCTAACTTGATTCTTGAACAAATGAAACAACATCCTTTATCCGGTCTAAGAAGGCCATTTTCATCTATGAGGTTGCTTACTTCTCTTTTCAGCTGTTCAGCTTGCTTAAGCCATAAATTACATACATTTTTTGATTCAGCCCCTTTTAGATGCCATAATTTATTTACTTCATGTTCAACATCTTTTTTATGAGCTTCCAACTTTTCCATCAAATTATTCAGATTTTGAGAACTCCTTTTTCTCAAGTGTTTGTACTTTTTTCCAATTACTTCATGTAGACAACTAATACACAAGCCTGTGATGCTTGACACACATCCAACAACTTCCATGGAGGATCCAAATAATTCAAACAAACAGACGATGTACATTGCAGCAACTGGTGTATCCTAATGGCTACATATTGGAAACATAATGAAAGATCAAATACTTGATTTCCAAAATTATAAATGGAACAACATGAAGAGCAGGAATATATCTAAACAATAGTATCCCCAAATTTAAAAAAAAAAAAAAAACAATAAGCAACCTGCTAGGCAGCTAGAGCATATATGGATAACTAGGAGAGAAACAAAATGCTGATTTTAGCGACACATACACAAATAATACGTATATCATTTGGTCTTTCTATTAGTGCATCAAACTTCATTTAATTGAATATTAATTGTTTCCATATATTGTTGAAAAATAATATTTAAACAACAGGGTAAAACATGACAAGGAAGAATATATAATCCAAACAACAGTCTCCCAGATAGAAAAATAATAAACAAAGACCTGCTGGTACACATACATAATAGGAATAAAATGGAAAAACACAAAGGACAAAGAAAAATAATAAACAACGCACGTGGATCGGAGGGATGGTAATTCGTAAGCATTGTACTTATGCTTGTTTTCATGGGCTTCATACTTGCACTTGATTCGTGGCTCCTGCTGTGCTTGTTTCATAGCTTTTATTCGTGCTTGATTATTATTTACCCTCATGGACTATGTGTTCACTCTTGATTGGTTATTTACTCTTATGGAGTATTTGTCTACGCTTGCATTTTGTTTTCTGATAAAGCCCTCTAAAATTTAAATTTAAATTTACCAATTTTTTATTTTTATTATTAGTTCTCCAAAAGCATTCTACCTGGTTGTACTTGTCCCGCCTCATAATATGGGAGTGACCGACATGGGATATGCACCTAAACACACATCCCTTAAACTTAATTCAAGAACTATTCCATTTTAAAAATACTTTTCATTTAAATAAAGCTATAATATTTGTGAAAATTCCAATAGGATTTTCTCTTGAAAATAGGATTTCCCCAAAATTTCTTTACGATACAAATTTTTAAAGAAATATTACATCATCTAGGAGCTCAGCTCTTTGTAACCAGCAGATGGAATATTACAAAATAAAGACCCTAACCATAACTATGTGGAGCACCTGTAATATTATTTATAAAAGTACAATACATAAATTAAAATTTTACATCAAAAATAGAGGTAACCAAAATGATGTCTCAACTTCAATCCAATAACAAAATTTCTTGAATGATCCGACAAAGATACAGGCTATTTGAGATCAAAAATTATTTTTCAGTGAATAACATCCCAACCATAACACTTTTGAAACATTAAAGTGGATAAAATATAATAGTTACATAATTTAAAGAGAAAGTAATTTAATGTGAATGAATTTGTAAGTTCAAAAAAAAAGAGTTTCATATAACTTCAATATCAATAAACTTTAAATTTATAATGACAAAGAAGCTTTACCATTCGATCTTGACAAATCAAAATAATTAAATAAATACATAAATGAAAATAATAACATTTCATAATTAAAAATCATTAAAGTGTGAAATCATTAATTGATTAAAAATTCATATTTCTAGAGATTTATTAAAACAGTTCATAAATAACTAAACGCAGCTTTTGCCACAAAGTCAAATGTGGACACACAATCCACAAGGGTAATGCTAACCAAATATAGCCTGAGCTACGAAACAAACGTGAACACACAGTCTACGAGGGTAATGCTAACCAAACACGGCTTGAAGCCACGAAATAAACGTAAGCACGAGGCTCACGAATAACAAACACGAAGACAGAACTCACGAAAATCAAACTAGCTAGTCGTTGACTATAGTGCTAAGGGCTAAAAGAACTGTCGTTAGCAACCAGTGTTCTGTATAAAATTCCCTCTAAATCCATTTTCAAACAATTGAGAAAGTCATAGCTATTAAAATACAGTTTCCACTCTCAAAATCGAACTCGCATGAAGAATTTTGAACTTTAAAAACTTGCCAGAATAAAATTTCATAATTGATGTTCATGCTTGCATTTATTGAAAACCCAATATTACCAATGCTAATAAAAATAACTTCATCAATCTTCAAAGTATCATTTATAAGGAAAAACATACACACGTCATAATTCAATTATCCTTCAATATCTCTTTACAATTTCCCAAGATAACAAAATTTAATTAACAAAGTATTAAATATGTAATATAATTGTTATTAAATTATCTATGAAAAAAATATTTTATTTAATTAACAAAGTAATAAATATGTAATATAATTGTTATTAAATGATCTATGAAAAAAAAATATTTTTTTTTTGGAAAAAGAATTTTATTCATAAATCAGTTGAGACGCTATCTACCTATCTATAATATTCTCAAGTGCAAAATTCACCCTTTAAAGCTTCAATCCTCTCTCACTACCTCAATTGAAATTTTCTTTCTCCAAATCCCCTATTCAATAATACAAAATTTTAGTGACTTTTATCCACATTTAATAAACTCCTTTCCTATAACAACACTATAGTCACTCAGTTCTTAAATCAATCAGATGTATAACTAAAGTCCTTCAGTCCTTTCAATATTTTATATATATATATAAAATATTTGTCTTTCCAATTCCCCTCAAGCACAAGTAGTTAAATTTTAATCAAGATATGTATATTACATGAGTGCAGACCCAACTCTAAAAAAAAAAAAAAATAGTTCTACAACACACTTTATCAAACACCTTAAGTGCCTCCCAATATGAGTCAACACCATACTTCATAAATCATCAATAGTGCAATTTTCAAAATTTAGTTAACCAACTAATAACTGCGTAATCAAGATCACCACAAGACTACGTTGACTTAAATAGAGCCCATGCCAAATGCATCATTATAATAATTGATAGAATTCATAAATTACATAATTAAATAAAACTCTTTTTAATAGACATTTTTATCAAACACCTATCATGCATTAATTCTTAAACTCAAATCAAACATTTTTTCTTTGATTCCAACTCCCACAAATTTTACAAAATAGATATTTGAATCAAATAACACCCCAAATTCCATAAAAGATAATTGTCTTCCAATGATAATTTATTTAATCCATAATATAATCATCATATGTCAAGAATCAAGCCACTGTATAACAAGACTCTCTCTTATACATTTTATCAAACACTTCGTCAACATTCGAGCCTCAACTATAACCAAGTTTCTTCCTATTTAATTCTATTTTCCAAAAATTTTCTAACATAAACATATAATTAATCAGCTTTCCAAGTTCCATTAATCAGTAAATAAATCAATCTTAATTCAAGAAAATTAAATCCTCATCCTCCATAGTATCCACGACAGCAAAGAAAGGAAGGAAAGATTTCACAATCTCAACCAACAGATGCTCGTGCAACAACAGAGAAGTGAAGGAACAAATTGCCGCACCTCAGATCATCCACAACACGAAAAGGAAGGGACAGAAAAGGGGTGACAGAACAGGGGAGAAGAAGACAGCTACAATCCAACCTTACAGCATCTTAAAAACAGAATCTCAAACATTAAACACCCACACACCTAAACAAAACCAAGAAGGAGGAGGAAAGAGTGGCGCACCGCATAGCCACTAGAACAGCGGCGACTCAAAACGATCCAGGAACAAGACAACGTTGCTGAGCGAAGAAAATCGTACAGCAACCACCACAGCAGAAGAATAAACAAAGGAGGATACGCGGTGGACAGAGATGACGCACTTGTTGACGGCTAGCTGACTGGAGGAGAAGGAAGCTTAACAATAGTTAACGAAAAGAAGAGAAGGAAAAAGAAGGAAGCACGATGTCAGTGAAGAGAAGGGAAAGAAATAGATGCTGAACGATGCTCTGCTTTTCGCATGAGAAGAGAAAAAAAAAAATTCTGGTCAAAGAACAATTGGAAAAATTACAGAAAAGTTCCCAAATTTTTTTAAAACATAATAGATGAGGGCATTTTTGGTAATTTTTACATTATTAAAACAAAATAAAATTAATCTACTTCTCAGCAAGATTTGGACTGGACCTTGAAGTAAGGTACTATCATAAATTATAGTAAAACACTTGTTATAACTAATTTAAATAAAATATTAATTAGGAGAATTTTTTTTTAAAAAAATTAAACTTATGGTCATTTCAATACTATTACTTGAAATTTTTAAAATCTATGAGCAACACAAATTTTGATAAATTTTTAGTTTTCTATTAGCATTGTTAAATTTCACGATTGTGTTATTGAGAAAACTTGTTATCTATTGTCAATTAAGTATATGTTTAATTATTTTATTGATTTGCTTTAATTATTTATTATCTTCATAAATTATATTATAATTTTGATTGGAATGCTACTTATCAGAAATTTCTTTGGTCTAGATATTGTAGCTGACCCTACACCTCCAGTAGATCATTGAAGGGCCTTATTGTTTTTGGAAAGAGGAAGCGCATTGTGAATATCACTTTTTGGTGAAACTATGTATTGTATTATATGATTTAATTTAGTGCTCCATATATATCGTAGTTAGGTCCTAGTCTTATATTGCTAGTATATAATTTGTTGAAATGGAGTTAGTCTTCTTACTGGTTTAGCTAATAAGTTTTGTTATTATAAAAATTTTGGGAGGTCTAATTTACAGAAAAATTTTTGCCAAAATTTTTATAAGATATTTAAAACTTTACGAACTTTAATACACACACAACTTATATATCGATATTTTAGCTTAATCTCTAGCTAATCAAGACTTATAAAATATAAATTCACTTTCTATTTCATGCTAGTCATAGTTTAGTATTGACGTGTGATAATACAAGTCCAAATTAAAAAGATAAGTGATGAAAGCTTCCAAATGAACTGAGAGACATAAAAGGGCATGTAAGTAGGGGTGAAAATAGGCTAGATCTTTAATAGGAGCCTACAACCTAACCTACTTTAGACCTAACCTAGCCTACTTACTAAATAGGCTTAAGCCAGATTCAGTCTTTTAACTAATCCTATTTAGTCAAATAGGCTAGGCCTATTTTTTCAAGGCCTAACCTATGAGTCCAACAAGCCAGCCTATATATATATATATTATGTAATATATCACAAGCATATTAGTTTTACCATTTGATTTTTAATCAATCCATTCTTTTTTATTTTTAATTATATTTTCAATCATATTAGTCTTTTATATTAATCTCAATGTTGTTATTTTATTATTATATTATAGTTGGTCAGTCCTTTCAATTATCATATATTATAATTGATAGATCGGATTATATAATAATATTATATATTATAATAGTCTTAAAATATATTTGAGACATTTAAAACTAAAATGCGAGCCTATTTAAAAGACTTACTTTTAAGTAGGCTTTTAAATAAGCTTTTAGGCCAGGTCATGTTAGGCTTTAGGTAAGCTCAGGCTTGAGTTATGAAAAAAGTCTTATATAGACTTTAAGCCAAGCTCAAGCTTTGATTTACCACACAGGTTCAGGCCTATTTGGTCAAAATCTAGTTTAACCTAACCTATTTTCACCCTTACATGCAAGTCATGAGGATATGAGCTATGAGCCCATGAGCTTAGACTGTTTTCATCCAGCCTAATTATAAATGACAACTTTAATATTTGTTAATTTTAGGTTAACTCTTTTGTGTTTAATAATTTAAGTTTGTAATGGGTTTTAAATAAACCCCAAAACGTGTTTAGAGTATTTTTTTTCTTTTCGTTTAGCTTTTATTGGTGCATTTTTTTTAATAGGAGAGATATCTAATAACTTATTAATTTATAGACCTTTAGGCTTGGTTTAGATGGAGAGAAAAATGAAAAGAAAAAATAAAGATGAGAGAAAATTAGGAGGAAAAATTTCTAAAAATAATAAATTTTTGTACTCTTTATTTTTAGAAGTCTTCCCTTGTGCAAACAAAAGATTAGGTTTTAAGGTTTAAGAGAATCAATTTTAATTTCTTTCTGTTAGATTTCATTTTGGCAAAATATCATTTAAGAATCTCTGGAGAGTTTTTACATCACAGAATAACCTTAGAAATATGAAATTTCTTTGCACCCCCAGTACCTATTTGAAAATAATATTTTGTAAAAAATGACCTAAATAACCCTAATATTTTATGAATGCTTAAATAAATATCCATTCGAGTTTTGATAAATAATCATGTGTAATTAACAACAACCCATTTAAAAATAAACAAATTGTGAAAATTGATAGCACTTGTTTTTATACAAGTGTTGATCATACATAAGCAAGTATCTATTCGAGTTTTTGACAAATAACCATGCATGTATAATTAACAACCCATAGAAATGAACAAGATACAAAAACTGATAACACAAGTTTAATTATACAAGTGTCAATTGGTCTTACATAAACAAGTATCTATTTATATTTTGACAAATAATCTTATGTAATTAATAACAACTTACTCAGAATTAACAAGTTACTATAACTAAAAGCATGGTTTAATTGTACAAGTGTTGGTCTCATATAAATAAACATCCGTTCAGGTTTTGACAAGTAACTATATGTAATTCACAACAAACCATTCGAAAATAATAAATTATTATAACTGCACACAAGTTTAATTGTCTAAGTGTTGTTCCTGCATAAACAAATACACATTAAGGTTTTGACAACTAACCACACAAAATTAACAATAACTCGTTAAATTATTAAAATTTATTAAATTTTGATGGTAATTATGTTTTTTTCTTAGAAAATCTTATTTAGGCATAAGTATCAATGAATCGCAGTGAAATTTCAGATTTTTAATGCACTTATTTAATATAAAAACTCTTTAAGAGTGCATTGATTTTGATATTTTCCCTCTCATCACTTTTTCATGGTGACGAAGGTTTGTCATGGGACCTACATTTGTTTTTTGTTTTTAAATTTTTCTTATTCTTGCATATTAAATTGATTTGGAGCATTTGGCAAAGATTTCTTGGAGACCCAGGTGCAGGTAATTTCATGAATAATCATTGTTTATTAAAAAAAAAAATCATGAATAGACAACCGTACGTTGAAATTAACATTCGGGCTAATTAAATGAGTCTAATGTTCACACGGAATGGGAAGTGATTTTCTTAGTGAGTGTGACACTATGACTGGGACTTATTTCATCAAATTGCGCATCATACCTCAAACCCTAAATTTAGTCATTGCGTCGTTCCTTGACAATGGAAGAGGAAGGCACCTAGCAATTTAAGCACAGTCAATTTCAATGTACGTTAGCGTTAATTATAGAAAATTATTTATTTATTTTAGTATAAACAAAATTAAACCACTTTAATAATAAAAGGGCCAATAGCAAGAATCGGCCCGCTCTTCTTTATTTTTATTATTTTTTTAATTGAGACAAACATACTCTATAGTTGTAAAATAATGGAAGAATCACATTCAAGAATAAGTCAAATAAATTATTTATAGATAAGGACTCATAACAAGTTTCATTTGAAAAAAAAATACGTCCTCATTTTAACCACAATATATTTCGTATTGGTCCTTATCTATGAATAATTTTCTTGAGTGATCTTTGAATGTAATTCTCCCAATAAAAATTGTCGTGGTGATCAAAAGGAAAAACTTATATACTTAACCTAATATATTTAAGGTGCTTATTTTTAATTAAATTAAGACATGTGTGTCTTTATAGATTATTTATTATATTATAAGTTATTGTTATTAATATTATTGACATATTAAAATATATATATATATATATATATCTTGATTTGATTGGATAAAAATATATTAAATATATATGTTAAGTACGTAAGTCTTGCTCATCATCAAATAACTCTTCATACTTCATTTATTTTTCGAATAAAGTATTAATGGTGCAGCCAAATTTTCTTTAGCATCCTCCATCCCATGTCAATGTGGAAAAACTCATATATTTAGTTTTACATACTTAATACACTTGTTTTTAATTAAATTAAAATATGTAAATTTTTTATATATTATTTATTCTATAACAGGCTCTTATTATAAATATTTTTAATATTTTAAAATTCAGTTGTTATAATTAGATTGGACATAAATTAAGAATTAAGTGTATAAGAGTAATTACTTAAGTCTTCTCTAGAAATTATTATTATGCTATCCCATACAAGGGAAAGTTAGATAAACAAATAATCTAGTATTGTTTAAATGTATAAATGGGTGCTTAATTTTGTAAGAAACAATTTAAGCTATTAATTAACTGTTTATAAGGCTATCAATTTCATTTTGAGCTCCATATCCTTTTTTTTTTAATTTCAAATGTCACATTCTAATTTTTCATATTCCTTTTTTATTTCCATTTAAACTCCTATTTTTTTTAATTTAACTTTGTCCCTAGTTTTTTTTGCTTGTTTCACTTGAAAATATATATATATATATATATATTATTGGTCTTCTTTTTATGGATTATTATTAACGATTAATTAATGAGAAATATCAAAGAAAAGGACAGGCTCTAGTCCTTGATTACGCGGTCTGCCGGCTTAAGATTAAATACAAAACCCTAACAATATTTTCCTATAAGTAATACAGTAAAGATAAAAACAAATATTTAATTATTAAATTCACAATAATTTTAATTTAAAACTCAAGAATAATTTGCTTATAAAAAATAAAAAAATAATAATACAATTTTAATTTAAATAGTTTTGATAAAATTTAATAGAGTTTGTTTTTTAACAAAGAAAGCTGTATTTATTTCAATAAAAAATTCGAAAACATTTTGAGAGGAAGTTGGTTGAGCGAAAGGATATTATTTAAAATTAAAAAGACAGTACATGACAGTTGGCATTTTGGAGGGTTAGATGAGAACCACACAGATTGAACGGTCAAGATATGAGAAATGGAGGAAAAAAGGAGATAAAAGAAATAGAGACATCCCATAGTTGAAATTCTTCGAACATGTGAATATGTTATTGAAAAAAGAATAGAAAACAAAGGTCATTCCAAGTAGACGCTCTGTTTTTCACTATGCAATTTCTGATTTAATTAATCTAAGTAGTGATGAATGATTATGTGACATCCAACTTGAAAAATGCGAGAAAAATCATTAAATTCTCCTCATAATTTTTTTTTGGCGCATATATATGAGAAAAATGTTAATTATATATGTTTGTCTGTATTAAGTAATAAAGTGATTGAGTAAAGTATCGTTCTCTTATATTTGATTCTAAAAACTGTTAAAATATCTATTTCACACTATAGCTCAAGTCAAGCACATCACAAAAAAAATGGAAGAAACATATGAATTAATTAATTAAATCTAAGGCAATATCTAATAAAATTCTGTTGCCTACGCTATAATTTGTGTTCTGTGTACAATGCATGCAAGTTTTTGAAAAATTATCATAGACGTCTCACTTACCACACACACAAGCCAAAGTCATTCATAAAAGCATATGATGGACAATAAAAGTCTTGAAAATAAATTTGAAAACATGTTTAAAATCACTCAGATCAAACAAAACTAACGAGTGCACCCAAATGTTTTCTTACCAAACGTCAGACTTTATTAAAAAAAAAAAATCAATGTTAACAGTAAATTAACAACAGACATGTGGAATCAAATCAAGATATTGTAGCTAGTTTCATTTGAATACTGCCTTCGCGCTGTATTGCTGCTACTCGGAGCAAGCCTGTCCCTGCATTGAATAATGTAATAATCAAATTATATGTAGTGGATAAAAAAAATTGAAATTAAGAAATCGTTGTATATTTAATATGCTTATTGTTAGTAATTAAATCAAGACATATGAATTTTTATATATTATTTATTTTATAATAAATTTTTTAATTTTTAATATTTGTAATACTTTTAAAATATATTTTTTAATTTAATTGAATAAAAGTATCTAAGGCTAAAACACTAAAATCTTCCTTTTAATAGTATCTATACGGACGTACTATGGTAATTGGAAAATCTAATGAAACATACCTGTTATAGTAATCGATGAAGCATGATTGAAGGAGATTCTTAGCTTCAGGTTGGTCCCACTGCAGTGATTGCCACCATTCGTTTTCACATATTATTTGTTGGAGAGTGGTGGATGGTGAGATTTCCTGACCAGCCTCTACTCCAAAGAGAATAAAATTGACAACAAGAGTCGGGCTAGAAAGACTATCTGTTTAAACTCATTTTTATAAGAGTTTGAGTTTGAAAAAATAACATTTTTTAAGAAAATTAGACTTTCAAGCCCGGCTATAATAACCCCAGAAAAAAGGGCTCAGACTCAGGCGGCTCTTTTAAGCTCGTTTTTTATTTTTCTCTTAAAAAATAAAATATTTTTAATTTTTAAATTGAATTTAAACTTTAAAATATATGTTTATATTTTAAAATTAAAATTTCTATTATTTATTTTTAATTTTTAAACATTATAATTTGTATTTTTTAAAAATATATGAAATATTATAATAAAAAATTTTAATTTCTAAAAATTCAACAAATAAATAATAATAATAATAATAAAAGTTTACAGGCATGACCTTGAACCCTTTATAAAAGGGTCAGGTTTTAAAAAATGAGATATTTCAAAAAAATCGGGCTTAAAAGCCCGAGCCCTTAAGAGCTGGGCCCATAAGGGCCGAGCTTATATGGGTCGGCCCGCTCATTTTTCAACTTAAGTAGATAATTGTGTTGAATGTCCCCATTGTTTATGCTTTCCAGACTGCGCAAATCATATAATTCCAACCTTTGCAATTTTGGAAGGATCACTTTGACTGCATGGCTGTTGTCTTCAACGTTTGTATTCCTCTCCCCTTCAATAATTTCTTCCATAAAGAAGCAATCAATTATGGTAATTTCTTTGAGACTTTTAGGCTCGTCCATGAGCTGCCTTGGGAACAAACATTTCAACGAACCACAGGATGACACCTCAATTCTCTTGAGGTTCATTAGAGTACCTGGTCTCACCACTTTCCCACTGATGCTCCTCAACCTTGGAAAATCATGTTGATTCATTGTCTCTAGCCGGGGAAAATTATTCTCCTCTGATTCAACAATGGCTTCCATCTCAGGACAGCATTTTAATTGGCACCTTTTCAAGTACATTGCATCCAATAAGTACAAAGACAAACATTTCACACCATAAAAATGAGAAATTATTAACTCCTCTACATTTCGTGGAATCAATGCAGTAATCTCGGCATCTGAAACGTTTCCTAGTTTGTATCCCCTATCTATTGCCAAACTAGTTTTCTCAGATAATTCTAGAACGCAGCCTGAAAACCCGACAACAAGCTTCAACTCCTTGAATTTATAATTCTTCAGAAATTTGGATATGAGTCCAGCCGGTAAGTTTTGGACAGAAGTGAAGGAGAAATCCAGGTGTCCCAAATCAGTCAATTGTTCCATCCCTCGTGGAAGTTCTGTTAAACCTCTAGAAAATGAAAAATCTAAGTACTTCAATTTAGTGAGCCTTTCTAAGGATGGAGTTTGAACAAGATTCCAACAGTGGCTCAACAACAAGGCATGTAGATTCTCTAAATTCGAAAGAGACACAGGCAAAACACGAATCCTACTGTAGGAGAGATTAAGAACTTTTAGCACATGCATGTTGTTAAAGAAGCGGTGTGGTATGTTTTTTTAAAATGCGTTATATTGAAGTAGTAAAGAAGTGAGTCTATGACATGTTGGATTGAAGTCTATAGATTTCACATTATTTCTCATCAATGATACCCATTGAACATCCTCTCTCCATTCCTGAGGCATTGCTGGTTTTACTTGTCCTCCGTCAGCATTCACAATGCATCTAGGCTTTGTACTCATGATTCTGATGACCATATCTCTTATCATATCATGCAATTTAACAAATCTCACCCCATTTTCAATCTTTAATTCCAGCAAGCATGCTGATATTAATTCATCTATAATAATTTGTCCCTTGCATTTCATCACAGACGTGCTTGGACCTTCCAATAAATCTTCCCACACCCAATAATTAATCAATTCATTCTCATCAATTAGATGACCTTTTGGGTATAAACCACAATATAGGAAGCAATATCGCCTTATATCATCGTTTAGTTTTGAATAGCTCGACTTCAAACGAGAACATACAACTTCATCAATGTTGTATGTACCAGTACTTGAAGTTTTTAACCCTTCCAATGCATTATCCCACTTTCTTAGGTTAGTTGTCTCTCTCAATGCACGTCCAACTGCAGCAATAGCTAGAGGCAAACCACCACATTCTTTTGCCACATCCATTGCAATTGGTTGTATTTCTTGAATTGATAGTACCTTCTCCCCAACTTTGTTCTTGAAGAGATTCCACACTTCATTCTTTGGAAGAACTTTTACTTCGACATTCTTGTCTGTTTCCATCTCTCTGCACACTCTAAGATTGCGAGTTATTATTATCAATTTGCAACCATTTTCTACTGTTGGCACAGGAATTCCAACAGTTTCAATAGAGATTGGTTCCCAAACATCATCCAAAATCAACGCAAATTTTTTCCTCTTATTAAAAGGTTGCCACAATTTTGAAGATCTTGCTATATCATCATCAGTTTTTTGAAAAGTCAAACTCAACTTCACTGCTATATTCTGCTGCAACTTGCATATATCGTTTGTTGCTTACATCCATTTAATGCAATTAAATTGACTACTTTCTGTCAGTAGGCGATTGTTAATCGCTGACATGATAGTTGTTTTACCCGCTCCCCCCATCCCCCAAACACCAACCCTTCTGGTCTCTTTGTCAGACAAAAATCCCCAAATCTCATTAAAAATTTGGTCATGTGTTTTGAATTCCATCATTGGTATTGCGGACAAAATATCACCCCTCCTGGTTTCAGGAATAGCAATTGAATCTTCTGAACGCAGAACATCCTCTAATCGTTGACGAATATAACCACTCTTCTCCTCAATAAGTTCGCCCAACTTGATTCTTGAATCAATGAAACAATATCCTCTAGCCGGTTCATCCTTGAGACTTCTAACTTCTGCTTTTACCTGATGAACTTGTCGAAGCCATCCTTTACATTCCTTTGTTTTTACTGCCCCTTTTAGAAGCCTTAACCATTTTGCTTTATCTTCAACATCTTTTCTATGATCATCCAGCCTTCGCATCAACTCATCCAGCTGGTCAATGCTCCTCTTAGGTGTTCTCCAGTGTTCAAACTTGATTATAATTACTTCATGCAGTTTGCAACTAACTATCAAGCCGATGATGTTGGTCGCACCTGCAACGTATTCCATGGGAAAAGGTATGCATGCTCTAAAGAATTCAAACAAACACAGGAATATGGAAAGCACAAGATATCTTTCAGCAGCTGATGATCTATCCTGCTGTCTACATGTTGAAAAAAATAATGAAAGGTCAACTATATGATCTCCACAATTAACATGGAACAACATGAAGAGCAAGGATATATCTAAACAATGCTATCCCAAGTGAGAAATTAAAATTACAAAATAATAATAATAATAATAATAATAATAATAATAAAAACTTGCTCGACCACATGTATAATTGAAGTAGAAACAAAATGCTGATTTTAGCAACAAATACAAATACAAATAAATATGAAAAGTAAATATATATATATATATATATATATAGAGTTAAATGGAAAAGTGATCCCTACACTATAAGCCTCAGACACTCTGAGACCATAAACTCATTTTCAGTATATTGTTCCCTTTCACTTTTAAAAATAATACAATATCATCTTTATCATTAATAAAAATTAATTTTGACCACTAGTTGACATAAAATAATAAAAAATGATCTTAAAAATCACAGAAAAAGACATAAAAATACAGAAAAAGATAAAAAAAATTATTGGTTTTTTTCTGTAACTTTTTGATTAACTAACAGTTAAAGTTAATAATTATTAATGGTGGGAGCAATATTACTTCATTTTGACATCAAAAAAGAATTTAGAGTTTTAAATGCTCATGGACCTATTGTAATGACCCAGAAAAAAAATAATATTAAGACTTACAATAATATATTTTGCATTTTATTTTTGCTTTAGCTCTGTGAAATTACCAAAGTGCCCTCCTTAAAAATTTTATAAAACACTGATCGGTTTTTTCCCCCCTTTTCTTCATTCCCGTTCATTGCAAATCAACTGAGAGAGGGGGCTTCAAGAATGTTCTTCTTCCTTCGTCTTCAAGTTCATCATCGGCGCATCAGTAAAGGAACTCATGCCATCGTCAATAGAGGTTTCCGTCCAATGCGCCGGGGTGTTTAGAGGAAGAAGGATTTGATTGAAGTTTTAAGGAGTGAATTTTAGTACTTGAAAATACTTCATGGATTTTAGTACTTGAAAATACTTCAAGTTAGTCGATAATATTCCAATCAATTTATATATTTACAATTTTTTTATTAAAAATTATTTTCAATAATTTACAGTTATCAAAATATATTTCTACTCTAGCACTAATTACTTTTGTTAATTAAATTACTTTAGCTCTTGAAGTCATGACATACACTTATAAGATTGATGAAAACTGACGAAAACACTTTTACAAGTTTTTATACCCCTTTATTCAATGAAAACAATCATGGAAATTAGAGATAAAGTTCATGAAACATTAGTCGCGAATTTTTATATTTAGAAGGATTGATATTTCAAACGATGCCTGCAAATTTATTGTTGAGAAGAGAAAAATTATATTTTAACAAGTAATTTATTTCTCACATGTTTGAAAATGTGATTTTGAGAGGACTATAAATAGAACACGGGTTACTAATAGCAATTCCATTAGTTTGTAACACGCTATGGTTAATGATTTATTAGTTTAATTTTTGTGAGCTTTGTTCTCACATTTGTGATTCAGGAGTCTGGTACTTATATTTGTTTTCGTGGCTTCAACTGTGTCTGGTTACTTACACTTGTAGACTGTATATTCAAGTTTGTTTTCTTGGCTTAGGCCGTATTTGGTTATTTACCCTCATGAACTATGTGTAGACATTTGGCTTTGTGGTGTAAGACGCATTGGTTATTTATTTTCATGGATTATGTGTCAATGTTTGTCTTCATGGCATAAGCCGCATTTAATTATTTATCTTTGTAGAATGTGTATTCATTTTGTTATCTGTTCTCTAAAGTACTTAGAATATTAGCTTTTAATTGATTTGTGAAATTTATATTTCATTGATTTTATTTAGTAAATATTCCTATATTTATTTATGTTATTTATTGATTTCTCAAGATCAAATGATAAGGTTGCTTTGTTATTGGAAATTTAATGTTCCAGTATTTTTGAGGTTCTCTAAAATATTTAAAACCCACATTTTGTTGTTATATTATCTTGATAGATTCTCTCTTTAATTTATTTATAATTACTTGAATCTATTCATTCATATTATTTTAAATTTTATTCTTGGGATGTTATTCACTAAAAATATGTTTAATTTTAGATAGTGTAGATGACTTTGGATTTTGAGATGACCATTGAGGGGTACACTTTCAAATTGGAGTTGAAGCATTATTTCAGCTAAATTTCTAATTGTTTGCAAAACTTGACTTTATATATTATACTTTGTATTTTGAAAATTTTTGTTGAAATTTCTATAGAAATTTATGAATTTTGTTATCATAAAGAGCTTATATGAAATAAATCTTACTCTCCTTGAAGAATACATTTATAGTTATAATTAAGCATTTCTTGAATTTAGGCTTAAGGGATGTGTGTTGTGGTACATATGCTGTGCCAATCACATTTTATTTTTTGGGTATGACACATATAGTTTAGGGGTTAATTTGTCTTCTAACCCTATATATAATGACCTTTCCTATTATTTTGTGACATATATACTCCATCCATTCCTTATTATGAGATGTCTTCTAAAAATTTTATTTGGTTCTTAGTATAAAGCAATTAATAGGGTATTAATTATGTTTTTTCAATAATTAATTAATTATGAGAGATAATGTAATATAAATTTAAAATTTTTTATTTAAATAGAAGTAAAATTGAAAATTTATTTTATTTTTATGTAAAACTTGATAATTTAACTACCTCTTGATTTTAGTAACGTATTTAGAAGTATTTTATAATAGGACCACAAGAAGAATGTGATTTTGTGCTGTGGTGTGATGTGTGCAGCCACATGAGCCATCAAGTATTCAAGAGTGAGGGAAATCAAGTGAAGGAGTAAATGCGAGGAAGTGCGTGAACTACCAAACTTTATTGAGAAATTGAGTCTTCAAATTGTTTCAATAAATAGTAAGAAAAGTTGAAGGGAAAATAATAATAAAATACTTTCTAAATATATAAATAATAATTTAATCTCTTAAAATGTCATAATTTTCCTGAAGTTTTTAAATACTTTTCTATCATTAATAAATTTATATAAATTGCTAAATTGTCTTTGTTGAAAATAAATGATTTACAAGTTTTGTTTAAATATTCACAACTTTTCTTCTTATATTTGCAACAATACAACAACAAATAAGAAATTTAATATGCGAAATTGTAATTTGCTATTGTATTGTTGTGAATATAAGAAGGAAAGTTATAAATATTTAAACAAAACTTATGAATTGTTTATTTTTTAATAAGGGCAATTTAGTAATTTAAATAAATTCATTAATGATAAAAACGTTTCTAAGAACTTTAAAAAAATTATGAAATTTTGAGAGATTAAATTATCATTTATATATTTTAAAAAGATTTTATTATTATTATTTTAAAATTGAAGGCCTTTACTGATCAAGTATCAATTGCAAGCCACCCAAACTCAACCTTGTTAGGATGAGGTTGGGCATGCAGGGATGGATCAGAACATGGAAAAGGACAAAGTGGTGGACTAGAGTCTTGGCATTCTAATTTCCAACCTTGGAGGCCTAGCCAGGCCTAGGAGGAGGCTTTTTTCCATTTTTGATATAAAAAAATATGTTGTATTTTGTTAATATTGTAAGATAAGAGGTGAAGGTGTAAATTTGATCTTCAATTATTTTTTTTGTAGCATTAGGTAATTTATATTATAAGGTGATATAAAATAAATCTTCAACTTTTAAAAATGGAGCATTTAACAGCCTCTGTTAACTTCTATATGTCAGATGTTATCTTCTATGCGGGGCCCACAATTTTTTTTGGAAAATGACACGTGGCACTCCACCTCAATAAATAAAGATGCATATTTAGCCATAAATCATTTTTTGAAGAACATTAGCTAGCTTCTATTATAGAAAATGAACCATCTAATATATTTCCATCAATTTTGACTAAACGCTGTTTATTTTCAGAATCATAGGACTCACAACATGTCAATTTCTCTAGTTTTCTTGCCTTCATTCCAAGTTTTAGCTTGAGAAGAAGAGGTTCAAAGAGTTTTTATCTGAAGACATTCATGAAAAAGATGCTAACGAAGTAGAAGAAGACAAGGTTTCATTTAAATAAGAATTCTTTGATAAAAACACGTGAATACCTTTAAATAATAATTCTTTAAATCTCTTACTCCATATGAGACTAAGAACGAAGGTAAAAAAATTGAAGACATTGACACATTGTGATTCTGATAAATATAAAAATAAATAATGTTTAGTGAAAATTGGATGAAAAGGTGTAGGAAAATTTATTTTTTATAGTATAAGCTATACCTAGTACTTCTTAAAAAATAGTTTATATATATTTAAATTTGCGCCTTTATTTGCCGAGGTGGCATGTCATGTGTCATTTTTAGAAAAAAATTAAGCGCCCCACACAAGATAAAAGTTAATGGAGCCTACTAGATGTTTTGTTTGTGAAAGCTGAAGATTTATTTCTCAAATAATTAAGGGTTCTTGAAAAATAATTAAGGGTCAAATTTGCGTCTTTAGCCAAAGGTAAACGAGAGGAAGAGGACAAATACGTACGAGGAAGAAGCCGGATGTTGCAGAAGCAAAAACTTGAATTTGCCCCCGGGAGGATGTAAATACACTTTGGAGAAAAGAAAGAGAAACGCACGTAGGAGTGCAGGGCAAATTGTGGAAAGAAAATAAACCTTTTTTCTTGCTTTCGTGGTGAAAAAACCATTCAAGATTTACTAAGAGTGCCCTTCAAAATCTTGGCGTCAAATTTTAATGATTGAAATATTAAAAAATATATTAATAAAATAAAAATTTATATTTGCATTTAGTTTTTTTATTGTTTGATTTAGATTATCTTTTTCAAAATTATAATTTTATTTGGTACATTTATTATATATTCAATTTAAATTTTTTATATTAAAATACAAAGTGTAACCAAAATTTTCTAATGAT